CTGTGAAGAATGACCCAGCTGCTCCAGGAGCCCTTGCCGCTGTGATTGGGATGCCTGGTGGTGTAAGATGAAGACAGGTATTCATGGGGGCACTTTGCATACGATCATTCACACAGTTGCTGTAGGGCGATCTGTCGTAGGTACGTAAATTCATCCCGACTTATGTGCATGTTGGCTACACAAGAGCAAGCGGCCGTTTAGAATCGTTCATCTGTCAAGGCGTGCGTCGATAGAGGGCTAGGCAATGCCTGCATCTGCAGCTTTTTTCGGCAGCAGGTGCATCAGCAACTCCCGTAACCCAGCCCGCCGAAGTTCCAGCATCCTGTTCTGATGCTCAGGAGGCTTGGACAGCAGTGAGCATGATCTGTTCTCAGCAGTTGCCCGGAAGCCACGGCAGCTCACGACGGTACAAGGCCAAGGCGGAGGTCACGTGGTATTGGCCTAACGTAAATTTCTCGTATTATTCGAGGTTGACCCCAGGATTTGGCCCCCAAAGTCTCACCGATTTTCATATCCTGGCAGCCATGGTCAAAGCATAGTGCCAGATACCGGGCCAATGAATAGTGAAATATGTTGTACCTCCTGGCCGTGGTTTCGGATATCAGATACGCTTCGCACGCTGTGTCAAGTAGCTCTACCAACTCCTGATCACGAATGCGAACTTGGATAGGCGCAGAATTGACTCAAGGCGGGTCTGCAGGTGCTCTCGCCACCACCTGCTGCCCCAACACCGCCTCAGCCGTTGCGGGACAGCCTGGGCTTTTCCCTGAGTGTCTGTTTCCCTAGCAGTGCTGCTCCAAGTCTCGCTTCACCAGTCACCAGTTCCTTTACTCTTTTCATGCGTGTGAAATCTCGAACTACTTGACGTTGCTCAGTGGACAAGCAGATGCGCCGCTGGTTACGTTCGCTCCGCTTTATGGGTGCCGAATTTGCCGGCTGTTCTCAGTTACAGCTTCTTACCTTTTCTGGGCGGCACCGGCATTCGGGCCCCAAATATCCATAGGTTCTGCATCTGGGTCGTTACACAGGCGGGCTTGTTGCATCTATGATAGGACGCTCGAAGTTGCTGCTTTTCTCTCAGTGGTGCAGATTTACTCCGCCATCCTTGCGTATATTCGCAACTATACTTCCGTCTTCGCGTCCCAGTCAGTTGCTGAATGTTTTTCTCCAGGGGTCAGCCCTGTTGTGAACCACTGGAACAGAATATCTGAGCTTACTTCGAGACTTCTGTTTGCCACGGAGGGGCACTTCTGGATACAGCTCTCTATCGATAGCTCCCCTTGTTTAAGAGGTCAGTCTGCATTCGCAACTAATCAGTGCTGTGCAACAGCCCGTTTCGCTGTTGGCAGGCAGCACCTGCCC